CACCAGAGCTTTCAGGGCCGCCACCTCCTCACTCAGTGCCCCGCACTCTCGTGTTCTCGCCAGTAGGCGCATGCCCAAATTGGCAGCCGAGACCGCATGGAGCACGGTTAAATTGTGATTGTCGGACCTCTGCGCCACATGCAGATGATCTGCAACTGTAAGTCTGCTGACAGTCATGCCTTCCGGCAATACTGCCCTCCACGACACCACCTCAGAGAAGTTTGAGGCCGAGCCATGATGGTATGAGGAGTTTGGGAAGATAGGGTTTTAAGGAGCCCTTATCTCTGCATTTGGTGGTGCGAGCGACAACTCAAGGTTAAGGTCATCAATGAGCATATCTGAGGATGCCATTGATTTTTATATCTGGACTATTTGATGGTTTTTCTTGAGTTTGCAGGATGAAATGCAGGGTACTCCTCCTTTCAACCGAGAAGTGGTTTAAATAGACTTATGCTCATAAGGGAGTCGACACCACTTTACATTTCCGGAGCAATTTGCGGTTGCGTCAAGTTAAAAGGGAAGCATTTCTGCTTTCACTTTACTTTCTTTTCCTTCCTGTTTTCTGGTGCATTGTGTTTTGATTTCTTTTTAGTTTGTCGTCTTTGTTTTATTTCAGTTGGGGAACTGTGATTTGTTCTTTTTCGTTTGTCGCATTCCCTTTATTCCAGTTTGGGAAGTGCGTTTTGTTTTTCTTCTTTGTCTTTTGCAACTTTCTTTTCTTTTATTTCATTTCCGAAAACGAAAAAAAAAAATACACGGAAAGGGCAAAGACAAACAGGCACACCAATAATACACTAGAATTATTCTTTCACAGTGCTCGGTGTCTCGACCATGGGACCTTTGAGTTTGGCCCTATGGCTATCCTCTTCCGGGGCTTCACGCACAGCCTCTTGGGGCTCATCACTCGAGCTCCCAAAGATCGCACTCTTAGCTTGAGCGTACCTATTCTCGCGATCTGTTTTCTTGCGTTTACCCGGTTGGTCCAGGTCCTCCAGCTGCTTTCTCATGTCATGGGCGTAAACACTTACCATCTTT